AGATGGACAGTGTGCACAGATGGACAGTGTGCACAGATGGGACAGTGTGGACAGATGGACAGTGTGGACAGATGGACAGTGTGGACAGATGGCAAGTGTGGACTGATGGGACAGTGTGGACAGCATGGACAGTGTGGACAGGTGGACAGTGTGGAGGACAGATGGACAATGTGGACAGATGGACCGTGTGGACAGATGGAAAGTGTGCACAGATGGACCGTGTGGACAGATGGACATTGTGGACAGATGGACAGTGTGGACTGATGGACAGTGCGGGCTGATGGGACATTGTGGACAGCATGGACAGTGTGGACAGATGGACAGTGTGGAGGACAGATGGACAATGTGGACAGATGGACCGTGTGGACAGATGGACAATGTGGACAGATGGACCGTGTGGACAGATGGACGATGTGGACAGATGGGACAGTGTGGGGGACAGATGGACAGTGTGGACAGATGGACAGTGTGGACAGATGGACAGTGTGCACAGATGGGACTGTGTGCACAGATGGAGATTGTGGACAGATGGACAGTGTCGACAGATGGCAAGTGTGGACTGATGGACAGTGTGGACTGATGGGACAGTGTGGACAGCATGGACAGTGTGGACAGATGGACAGTATGGACAGATGGGACAGTGTGGAGGACAGATGGACAGCATGGACAGATGGACAGTGTGGACAGATGGACAGTGTGGATAGCAGGGGACAGTGTGGAGTTCAGATGGGACAGTGTGGAGGACAGATGGACAGTGTGGACAGATGCACAGTGTGGACAGATGGACAGTTTGGACAGATGGGACAGTGTGGACAGATGGGAAAGTGTGGACAGCATCGGGGAGTGTGGACAGATGGACAGTGTGGGCAGATGGACAGTGTGGACAGCATGGGTCAGTGTGGACAGATGGAACAGTGTGGACAGATGGACAGTGTGGGCAGATGGACAGTGTGGACAGCATGGGTCAGTGTGGACAGATGGAACAGTGTGGACAGATGGACAGTGTGGACAGATGGACAGTGTGGACAGATGGACAGTGTGGACAGATGAGACAGTGTGGACAGGTGGACAGTGTGGACAGATGGACAGTGTGGACAGATGGAGAGTGAGAGCAGATGGGACAGTGTGGGAAGATGGGACAGTGTGGACAGATGGACAGTGTGGACAGCAGGGGACAGTGTGGAGTTCAGATGGACAGTGTGGACAGATGGACAGTGTGGACAGATGGGACAGTGTGGACAGTTGGACAGTGTGGACAGCAGGGGACAGTGTAGAGTTCAGATTGGACAGTGTGGAGGACAGATGGACAGCGTGGACAGATGGACAGTGTGGACAGAT